AATCATGCTAATATATGGATAAATAAATGCATGCATGTGAGTGCATATATATATAGTGATATCTGTGATTGTGATTACTATCCTGCTATCTTCGGAACCCAAGCACATGCTAATGCTTATGAAAAGGTATACCTATACCTACATATACTATTCATACAGCCTGTTTGTGATTTACATGCATGGTGACATAGACCTATGGATGCATTTGTTGTGCTTATTCCTCACATAAATATTTGTCTGAGGTATGCAAAACATTCAAAAGCAGTCTTAAATGAAGCAGCCTTCCACAAAATGTTAAAATAGGGTTGTCCTCCAGAAGGTTAACAAAGCTGATTCACAGCTATCCCTAGTTGTATGTATGCTTATCCAGGCACAGAGACTACCAGAAATGTAAAGTATCTGTGCGTGTATAGAAATGCATAGCCAGCAGGGACAGATTTCAAAGCAGCAGTATAGCTACTTTAACTCTCCAGCAATGTACTTTAGTTACATTAAAGTGTTTTGTGAAGCAGTCCTTCGATACTTTGCACAACACCTATATTTACTTATTCAGCAGAAATTTTCCTCCATATGGTGATAGTGAACTAACTAATTTGTACTTGAAGTGGATGCTATTAGTGGCATTCTCTCCTCAAGCATATTTAGTTGGATGTTTGACCCACCTCATTTTGAAGATTCAAGGCAGCTACCAGTATTCCAAAACAAAACAGAGAAAATATTGATCTGAATATCATTTAAAAAATAAAATACAATGCACATAAAGCTCAGAAAAATCAAAATTTACTTCATACCAACATCAAACTATCAGTGGGATTGTGCATACTTTTCTTTAATATGCAATATTTTTTGCATGGTGTCATTTGGACGTATTGCACATTATACCAGTGCCTTAAATATATTGGGAGGCATAGTATGAAGATTTTCTTTTTTTTGCTGCACAGTTTGGTGCTAATTTCTCCCCTCACCCTCATCTTCCATACCCAATAGGATATTGGTTCTTGCTTTAAAAACACATATACCAGAATTGGAACACAAATTGCTATGACCTTTGGATTAAAAAAATATGAAAAGTCTCTTTAGGGCAAGATACAAATCTCAGCATAAACAAAGGTTTGAGAGGGATTTCACCTGTACTGGATCATTAAATTCCAAAATGGGTAGGAAATCAGAAAGTATAAGAGGAACCAAATCATCCATTATACAATACTGGTAGATTGTTTTGGATTTGTTCAATATTATTTCTGTTGGCTGAAATATGTATCAGTCATTTAATGAAATTCTTGGTTTAAAAAAATAGTTTGAAAGTAAAATGGAAAGACATTTTCTGAGAGTTGATAATTCTCAAAGGTTGTTAAGCCTATTGATATTCTCAAGGAAGAGGAATCAGAGATAAACTTAGCTGCACATCAAAACATTTAAGTAACAAAGGGCAGTAGCAAGGCAAACTGGGGTAAGAAGACATTGACAACTGTTCCTTGCTATTGACAGGTCATTCCTTCTTGGCCCTGGAGTTCTCTGCAACCGCCCCCATTGAAGGGAGGATTAAGCCTATTCCAACAGACAATCCCAGGTGACTATTGGAACCAGTAGGGATTCAGAGGGAACTTGGAGTTTTCCCGAGGCTCTGGTGCATGATTTTTCTAAGGCCTTAGTTGTAACCTGGAATGATTCATGGTTCACCTGAATAACACCATTGTTGTGTGAGCTGTACTGGCTTCCAGTTGCTTTCCAGACTCAAGGTTCTTTAAATAATCTTTAAAGCTGACAGAACTTGGGGACTGAGTGAAAAGAGGGAACAGCCTAGAATCCCTACACAGCCACAAGTGAACTAAGATCACCACGACCACCCCTTGTGTGCCATTGGCTCTTATTTAACTCTAATCAGGTGCTGGCCATTTGTTGGAAAGATTACTGTAGGTAGGCTTTTAGCAATAAATCAACTTAATTGAACCTTCACATCTGGATCTGGGGTTTTACACCTAACATGGAGCAACTATGGAACTCCTAGATAAAAAGGATCATATATTCTAGACCTATATCAATTAAGGGTTTACACCTGTGCACAAAAGAGATACAACATTAGTCACTCTATTTGATGACCAATGCTGAAATTTGGATGTCAGTGCAGGTAATCCTCCACTTACAACTGGGCTCAGAATCTTAGCCATTGAATGAAGTAGTCATTAAATGAAACACCATGTGACCACTTCACCCAACAACCCTAATCCCAGATCCCTCCATTGCAATTGTTAAGTGACCACATGTGTTGTTAAGCAAAACATTGAGGAGAGGGCATAGGCCTCCTGATCATAATGGGATGAGTACACCTGGGAGATTGATGGCTTTTGCTAGAGTTTTTTTTTCCAGGTTTAAGGTCTGTTCCTCAGTCCTAGTATCCCTCTGGATGGGCTCCAGGGTTTGGTAGGGGGCACTGTTATTCAGTGGTTTTATTCCTTCCCCAGCAGTTGTTCCAGCCATGTTTGCTTCTTGCAGGATACCTAGGAATCAGTGTTTTTCTGCTTGCTATTCAATATTTGTATGAACTCACTGGGAGTCAGCCTTTCAAGGAAAACCAGATTGAAAACCATTGCTATATAGATGAGTAGTGCTTTATGATACAGAATCTTGCAAGTCTGAATGTATTTCTTCCCTTTATTTTCATATGAACTGTCTGAGACATTTACTCTTGTCATATTTCGGCTCCTGCTGAGGCCTCTTTTGTTTCCTTTGGAAACACTTTTTGCTCCTGCCCCTTTCAGAGGCCATTCATCTACCTTCTATACTGGGGGATGTTTCGGACCTGGTATTATCAATACATTGATGATACCCAATTGCATACTACAACCCTAGGCTGGGCCAGAAATGCTGCATTGTCTTCCTATTAATTTCAAGCGCTGCATTGTCTTCCTATTAATTTCTGAATGCAATTAAAAATGCCATTATTGACCTATAAAGTCCTTAGTAGTTTGGCACCTGGCTATCTGCAGGACCACATCGCCACACTAATGTCATGCCATGCACTGATTTCCACCATTTTCAAGAAAAGGGTGAATCCTGGAAATCCCAGAGTTTGCTAATAGGACTGGCCTTCTGGAGCTAATAAATGTGATAATAATAAAAACAAAGTGGTGTTCTTTCAAATGCTTTTTCTCTGGTCTGACCATTTACCTTCTTGAAATAGTACATGGTTGCTTAACAGTAGGACTGCTATCTTAGACATGCCAACATCCTTTACTTTGAATCATTGCTTTCAGCTGTGATAGATGATGGAGTTGAGGACAAACATGATTCAGAATTTTCTGCCAAGGTTATTGGTTTTAACTGAAGAAACTGTTCTGTCCATTTTCCCCACTAAGGAGCAGGGAGACTATAAAGCCCCAAACATGATCCCAAAACCTGCAGGTGCCAGTAATACAAATAAACATAGAGCAATTAGCAAAATTAACACAGTTTTAAATAGCTTGGTTCACCAGATGCAGAGACGTAGCAGGGTTCCATAAAATGTAAAGTTATTAGAAATTAAACCATTAATCATCTGTTCAAAGGCCTGAATGCAAAAACCGTTCTGTCTGAAATGGAAAAAATGGCATGGATTTAAAGGGGACAATTCAGTTGTTCCAAGTCTGATGTTGAACTATGTTCTATAGCTTTGATTCAATTGAGAAAGGAGGATTATGACCAGAATTCTTCCCTGCTCCCAGCATGTGCAACTACTGAATCCCAGCAACTCTGGAGGCCTGTTTCAGATATTCATCTCCCACCCACCCCCAGATTGTTTGAATGTTCTAATGCTATAAAGAGAAATAGAAAGCCAGATGTACATGAAGTTAGTGGTGGCTGCAAAGGCATCCAGATTATTGAAGATGTTAGTGGTGGTTATAGTACTACTTATTACAGAAAGGTAATAAAGGAGAATAACAGCATTATTCCAATGATCAGGTATACATTCAATCTTTACATAGATGTTAAACAAGTTGTGCATCATTCCAAAAGTGTATTAGATTCATATTTTAACATTTTCCCATCTATCCCTGCATCATTATCCTTTTAATATTTTCACATAATTGATTACTTCCTCTTCATCTTATTTTTTGAAAGTTATATTCATTTCAGTTTTACTCTTTGATGGATCACTATCACACATGTATAAATATCTAAATGCTTCTTCCAGCATTTTTTCTTTTAGTTTCAAGTATCATTTGCAGGTTTTGTTTTGTTTTTATTCCACTTAACCTGGCAGAGGCTCTTTGTTTAGCCTTTTTCACACAATACTATTTTTTTTAAAAAAAATCTATAAAAATTGTTGTGCTCTTTTCATCTTGTTCTCTTTTACTACATTATTTGCAACTTTGGGAGATATTTTCCCCTCTAAATCCTATCCCCCATGTTCTCCCATATTTCAGTGATTCATTTAACAAAAAAAAACACACCTTTTCATCACTTTCTAAGTCATATTCTATCATAAACAACCAACTCTTTCCTTCTCTACCTCAATTAAATTTTATCCCAATAGCCCTGTTAAATTCTTCTTCCCCATCACTCTTGCTCATTTGACTCCTGTTACTGAAACTTCAAAATTTCTGTGAAGCAGGTTTCACTAAGGAACCCACTTTATTTAATACATTATTCATCTAACATCATTTACAGAGAACTCATTTACAGAGAACTCATTTACAGAGAACTCAGCCAGCCCAATGAGTCCCTTAATAGGATATCCCATTCCATTTCCGCTAATTTTCAGAAGTCAACCTTTCCTGGTCAAAGAGAAATTTCTGTCTTCTTGGATTGCTTTAATGTATTTCTCTTCAATATTATTATATTTCTGCAAACTTTAAGGTTTCTCAAAGATTGTCAGTATGCTTTACCTTTTACATGTGGATGATTCTTTCAGTTTTGTGGTCTCTACAGCATGATATTCAATAAAAAAATGAATGGCAGACAAAGAAGTTATTTAACAAAGAATACAAAGCAAGATAATACTGTTGATTTGAAACATTTACCTCCTTCAGACAACCCATGAAGTTATTGCTGATAGGAGATCCAGGTAAATCAGCTGTACTGGGACTTCCACCGACATAGAAGAAGTCATCTGAGCCAAGCATAGTATAATCCTCTTGTGTGTAGCCAGTAGTGGTAAGGATTCCATCCACTGAGATTGTCACCTGTTTGAAGGATGCAATGGACAAAACAAAAAAAGAAAAGAAAAGAAAAACAAAATTCCCAGCAATGACCTTACGGTTCTTAAAAGAGCAAGTCCTCTCCCTATTTTTATAAAACTTTTAGGATAGGTTTTGCTGAACTTTGTTGATTCATTGCAGCTCAGTTCCATTTTCTGGTCTGCTTTTTCACCTGCATTGCTAGTTCAACTTTGCTACTGCCAAAAAGAGAGCTATTCTACCTGCCATTGATGGCTTCCATTTAATAAGGCCAGAAAATGGAGCAGTTGGTGGACAGGAGCACTTATCTGAGCTGATAGTATGATTGATTAGCCATTATTGGTAGTGATTATTGTTAGTTATGACTGTTAGCAAAGACACTAATGATGAAGTTGATATATTTGATTTTGCTTCTTTGTATTTATTTGGCTCACAGCACACAAATGAACATGCATTCAGGGAAGGGAGGAAGGAAAAGGATCTCACTTTCAATACATTATGAAATGAACATGCTATGTGCCTACAAAGACACCCACCCAGTACTGCAACTTAAAAAGAAAAAGAAGTACAAAAATTTAAAAAAATCAGGATTTTAAAAAAAATGAAAGAAAGAAGTTGACCATACATCAGCGAAAATGAAACATATAAAGTGAATTTGAAAACAGGAGGAAAATAATTGCCAAATGTGCTCACACTCTCTACTTTAGCACACCCATGCCATTGTTTTTCAAAATCCAGAAGGACAAAGTATCCTGAGAGAGATTTTTTTTTTCCACACTTGCATGCGTTCCTTAAAAAAGCAAAAATGAAATCATAAACCATAAAAGGATAAAAAGAACGCTTCAAAGAAAGGGAAACTAAATTTTAAAAAATCTAAAAATAGTCCAAACCCCGTAATCCATGGAGGACAATGGAAAACAGAAGGAGGGAAGGAAAGGAAGGTTGTGAAAATGATATATGTATGTGATTTAAAAGTTAGATTAGTGGTTTGGTGAACAGATGGGAAGAGATAGCTGCAGTATGGTGTTTGGGAAAGGAGTTGGGAATTAACCAGACATAGACATGCCATGCAGCGTATATATTGCCCTGAACCAAACAACTGGCTGAGCTTCTGTTGGTTATGGCTGGTGGAATTTCAAAAAGACAGGGAAAAAATATGTGTAGAGGCTAAGAGGCTAGAGGTGAAGAGGTTAAGATGGAGTGAGAAAAAAAGGGGGAAGGTTGGTCCAGTTTTCCTTCAACAGCTATTATTAGAACCAAAAACAAAAATGAAGAGGGAAAGACTGGGCTCACAACAACAAACTGCAGGCCCTGACATGGTAGTTGAGTTAAAAACCTTCAGAAGAACATAAAAAGTAAGAAAGTCTCACTTCTCCAAACTAAAAAAACGAAGAAAAACTAAAGGAAAGAAACAAAAGGGATTAGCAAAATATTGACAAAAATAGAATTAAAAAAACCTTTTAAAATAGATGAAGTGAAGAAGCCAGCGAAAGAGATAATTAAATCCCATTTCCAGAACTATTGTATTTATTTTCTTTGTTTTTGTATTACAGAAAATATATATAAATACAAATAGGAAGAAAAGGTAGCTATAGCAAAATCAAAAGAAGAAGAAGGGGAAGGTAAGTTTAAAGCGGAAGAAAAATAGGGGATGGGAGATGGAGAGGGAAAGGAAGATAACACACGGCAAACCCAAAAAAAGAGACAATAAGAATGATATCTACCAGACAATGTAGTTTGTTTACCATAGCGTGTCCAATGCCTGAGTGCTTTGCGGAAAAGGGGGAAGAAAGGAAATTAAAAAATTGTGAACAGAACGATTGTTAATTAAAATAACCAAAAGCAAAGATGAGTAGTTAGGGTGTTAGTACATTAGTCGGTTAGTAAAAATGACACATTGCATGAATGGTCTAGTGTTAGTCTTTCAAAAAAAGGCATGGGGTGCCCGACACACACAGAGTGAAAAGGAGGACAGCATGAGCAGGACTGTCTGGGAACCATGCCATAGAGATTGTTAGAAGGAAGGGAACTGCCTGCCCTTCTCATTGTTATGCTATTAGTGACCCATCCCACTCTCCGAAGGAAGGGATATTTCCTCTAAAACCAAGTAGAATTTGAAGTATATAAACAATACTTACTTTTCAAGTGAAAATCAAATATTCATCTTCTGTACCTCTCCTCCCACATAAATAATGACAAACCATCACGATCATCATTTTAACCATTCTGTCCCATTTCCTGATCCATTTCAACCTCCTTTCTTATTCCATACTACCTTCCAGTATAGTTCAGATGCTCTAATCAACTCAACATATCTCTTGGGTATAATAGACAATTGCTTGATAATTCCTATGCACTCACCAAAACCCAGGGTTATTTTTTTTCCTTTACAGTAGTTGAACTTTCAGGAAAGACATACAGAATATAAAAGTCCAGACCAACAGAGACAACATATAGCTCACCTGCAATATTCAGGAAAGTGGGGAGAAGTTTCCCTAATTGAAGGAGGCATGAAGATTGCTTGCATCACGTATTTTTGTTTGAATGGAAAAAGGTTGACAGAATTTAACATGTCATTTGAGGAAAGGTAAGACTTGTATTTCTTACCCATGGATAGTTTTATAACTGACTTCCAAACCGCCAAACTATAGATGCTAATAATCATGGTGATACTTATTCATTTGAGAGGCTTAAAAGAAAGGTTTAATTAGTAGCGTTTAGACATGTTACCAACATGGGAAAACATATGTTGATAACTGAATTTTTAGTTCTTCTAGTATCAAATGGGTGCTGGAATCCTTTAATTATGCAAACCTGAGAGACAAGTATTTTTTTTATGAAACACCAAAACTAAGGGTAATTCCCTGTAATGTGTACATTCACCTCATCAAATAGATTTTACAGTTTTCATTATGTTTTATCATTTTCTTAGTCTTGTAATGGCCTGTTAAACATATTTGAGTAGACATGCACAAGAACACACCCCGAAAAAGGTAAGATCTGCAGCCAGTCTAAAATTTATTGGAAAAAATGCTGCAGTCCTTTAATTGCAAAGGTAAATTCCACATTGTTCAAGCGATTGTGGGTTGGGTGAGATTGGACCAATAAGGTTGTTCTGTTCAATCTCCTGCTCAGATACATTTAGATTTTATAATTTCAAGGAAATTTGTCTTTGTTTCATGCTTATTTATACTATTTTAATATATTTTATTATTTGAAGTTAATAATATATAGCATTCTTAAATACCATTTTGATGAAAAGGCAAAAGCAGGACAATAATAGTTATTGGTAGACTGTGTTCTCTTTTGATGTATATGTTGTTTTTTTAAATTGTCACTGCATAGTTTGGTGGCTTCAAAATCAAATCAAATCAATAAAATATTTAGTCGAAAGATATTGCAGCAGCAATGTAAGTACTATCTTCATATTATTTTATTTTTAATCATAAAATTATTATTTTAAGAAATCTTTCATCACATGCTGGAAAGCATGACTGAGAAGCATGGCAGATAGAATTTGTACCATTTCCTTTGCTTTATATATTATTTGGGCCTGAATTTTAAGTGTATCTACAAGAAAAACAAATAATATTACCAACCTTTTTCTGAAAGTGCTGGTGAAAAATATTGACACTTTCCCAATTCTATCATTAAAAATGTTTACATCCAATAAAACAAATGTTTTTCTTAATATAATCATATGGGAAATTTACTGGTGCACAAACTACTTTGAATTAAGTATAGTGATTTATGTATGCAACAAAACGTTTTTATGTACAGCACATTGCATTTTTAAAAAAACTGCACATTTTTTAAAATGAATGTATACTGTTCTTTTATAAGCTTATAGTTTTCAGGATATAGGTACAAAAATAGCAAATTTGAATGATAAAAGACACAAACATTTATGTCTGCTCACAGAAAACCTGCATTAGTTTTTTAATTGAACAGTGTTCTGTAATATGATAATTTTAATATGTTGCATGAAGCATTCTTGATAGAAAAAATAGAATGCTATTGTCCAACAAAAAAATGTTATTTCATTCTGTTTTACATGTACATTGTCTGAATATATAATTAAGCCAAAACAAATATCTATTTTTAAAAAACCGCTGTAAATTCTATATTGCCACATCCTCTGTCCATATTTGGAACAGGCAGGTGGGTTATAGCTAGAAATATTAGTTTACTTTGGATTTTGCCTATTATTAAATGAAACGCTCTCCTATTTACAGAAAAATAATACACCACTAACTAAAATGGTTATTAAATTGAAAGAGAATTTCAAAGAACAACCATTATAAGCATGTAAATTAGTGGTGGGTGAAAATATATGTGCATAAAACTTGAATAAAATGAATTAAAAGTTATAGTTTAAAATTATACTTTGAGGATGACCGTTTCCAGACAATGAGAAAGTTTAAATGAAATAAGATAATTAGTCCAAGGTAAATAATTTCTGTCTTCAGATGTAGCGGTGCAATCTGATGCTCTTTTAACCAGAATTTGGCCTGATACCATATTATTGTTATGGTTAAGTAAATATGGAGAAGATCATGATAATTGGAAGAAAAAAATTAAATAATAATAATAAAGGAGGGCAAAAGCAAGGTTGCTAGATACTATTTCTGTTATTATAAATGTGAGCTTGCAAGAATTCATAGAAGCAGTTACTGACAGAAATCCTAGTTAAATGTTGAATAATTTAAGATTGGAAGTCACTCAAGGACTGAACAGCAATGCATTAGACTTAAAATGCTAGCATATTCAAATATATGCAACATTTAGGGTTTTGCTTACTGTCACCAATGCCTTGGTCAGCTCTTCTTTGGACTTGTTTGGACCCATAAAGTTCAGCTAGTCCAGAATGCAATAGCTCAAGCAGTGAGTTTGCCCATATGCTTTGCTTACCACTATGCTTCTGAGTGTAATTTAAGATGCTGGTTGTCACCTTTAAGGCTCAGGATCTGAGCATTTGTAGAACTGCTAGTTTAAGGGCTTTTGCTTAATAATTAAGAGAAGTCCCCTTCCAGATTCTGCCCCCAAGAAGTGCCATCTGCTGTAAGTATGTCATTGGTCCATCTTTGTTACTGCTCTCCTTAAACTGAATAGAATTCCCGTGGAAGTCAGAGCGGCTCCAAATCTTATTACCTTTGAAAAAATCTCTAAAAGAACTACTGATATGAGAAGGCACTAGAAATTCAGCTATTGGTGGAGGGGATGTCCAATTTGGAGGGGGAGGAAGAGAAAGATTTTCCTGTAGCCTGACAGTGGTTGTTAATGTCCTTAAATATACATGGATTACTATTTTTATTGTTATAGAAATTCCTTTCACTCCATAAAAGCATAAAATGATTGGTTTTAATATGCATATGTGCAAGTATAATAAATATGCAGTGTTTTGTTTAAATTAACAAGTGTTTGAATGTAAAAAGTTAAAATATCTATTTGAAAAAATCATGGGCAACAAACTACATAACATTTACCAATCAGTAAGATATAAAAGGACTATATGTACAATAGAAAATATAGTAAGAACTATATGTACAATAGAATATTTGTCATGCTGTAAATGGTCCCAAGTGACTTAATATATTTCTCCAGCTTTCAGAAGGAAGGTTATTTATATTCATCTGTACCTATTAAAAGCTTAAGTGTATGTTTTAGGAGAGAGGGAAGAGTTTTGATACTTTAAATCTGGCTAGCTATATAAAAATATTATTAGATACATCCATGTGTTTAGTAATAAATGGTAGTAATAAATGGAGTAATAAAGTAATAAGTGGAGTTATAAAAGGGCAAAATATTAATAATAATAAGGGTATAGGGAAGGGGGTCTTCAAAGTAACATTCCTTGTCTATGTAGTCATCACAGGATAGAGACAAAAATCAGTAGTAGCATAGATTCATAATGAAAATCAAAGCAAAGAAATAAGGTCTGGAAAAAGTACAGCCAGTATCAGGAGCATAAGGTTAAAATAAACACCTCACATACAAAAGAAAAATAGAGAGAAACAGGAGAAACAAAGATTATTATCAGCCCAATCCACTAAAAAATCCACCCGCACAAACTCTCTTGAAATGATCTTGCTCAGATATCATTCTCGGGTGTGTGTAGCAATGCAGTTTGTCATTCATCGCAAAAGGTTTGTGCAAAAGAAAGACCAAGTGAATCAGGCCCATTACAGAGTTAAAGTAATGATACTGTGGAAATGGTTAAATCAATTACCATGACATAAAGGAGAAAAAGGAAGTGGATAAAACTGCTGCAGAAAATACTTTCCATTCCTACTGTAATTAAATGCAACAAGAATTATTGCTGATAAGATTGAAATGTAATTAACGAAATAAGAAAAAAAGAAAGCAAAGAAAAGAAGGGGGAAGTGCAAAGGAAAAGTGAGATAAAAGTGAAGTTAAGTCACAAAATAGTGTTAAAACAAATTGGAGATGGGGGAAAGGTAGAAAATTGTCAAGTGGAAATGAAGTTATTGCAATGAGGCCAAGTTATAGTAAATGAATGAGCACTTGTTTTCCCTCAAGTTACTAGAGGTTAGATGCTCCTCCCACTCCAAATAGATATACATCTTTCAGCTTCCTTCTAGCTACCAATTTACTATTATGTTTATTCACAGAACTTTACCACAGTTCTCTTCCTTTCCTCATTACCTGCCGCAAGTTGCGAGTCACTTTTACGTTGTGCCATTGGTTGTCATTAAATTTGCCACTGACTGGCTCCACAATGGCTTCAAAGGCTCCAGATCCTAAGTTAATGATCAGTGAGACGGCGCCATCTTTCAGAGCCAGGTTGACATAATCAGCCGACTTGCCCGTGTGCAGGATAAGGCCGTTGCGCTGCCAAGTCTTGAAGGACAGTGTGATTTCGTCACTGCTGCTTTGAATCGGGTTCTGGGAGAGGTCATAGCACAGGTATTCAGAGCCACGGAAAGTGGCTACATTCTCATCTCTTGCTGCAGAAAGACAAAAAGAGAAATGCAGAAGACTGATCAGCTTTGTTTCATAAAGAAATAACATTCAATTTGTTCCACTGAAATAGATATTCTTGAATCATGGTTATTTTTGTTCTTGCTTTGCATCCATTTACATTGCTTATATATTCAAAGCATGGAGAAGGCAGTTAGTGCAACCATCAGCTTATACCGCCTCTGGACAAAGATTACTTCTTAGAGCATAGGAATGTAACCTCTGATATAGTCATCAACATTTATATCAAACCTTCCAAGCAGGTAATCTTTTTAATCTCAGAGCGCAATATAAAGCTTTATTTTCCTGTCTTATTCAAAAGAATAGTATAATTTTGGAAGAGAGATTACATTTAGGAATGAAACTGATACACTGTATGGGAAACACCAGACCCAAAAGAATAGAACATCTTTTTACTTGATTTAGGGAGATAAATGAATATAGTACATAAAATTGAGCAGATAGAAGTATGAGCAATTATCTGAATTAATCAAACCAAACTTTCAAAGAATTAAAATCAGGGGTGGGATTCTACAGGTTCGCACCTATTCTCTAGAACTGGTTGTTAACATTCTAAGCAGTTTGGAGAACTGGTTGTTAGAAGAAATTACTGGCCTAATCCTGTAAGGAAGGCCGGAAGGAAATATTCTGGTGTTGCTTACAGAAACTGCCTTTCCGTTGATCCTTATTATGTTCTAGGCAGGACTAGACTTCCTGTCTCAGGAACATCTCTGGATTTTTTTCCTCCTCCTTTGCTGATCCTTTGCTTGTGTAGAGTGACCATTTAAAGTTACAATGGCACTGAAAAAAGTGACTTATGACCATTTTTCACACTTACGACTATTGCAGCATCCCCACAGTCATGAGAAGCCAGGCGAGGAGATGCATGCCTCGATGTGAGTGATGTTGAGTTGGCCACACCCATCCAATAACATGACCACCAAGCCACGCCCATCAACTAAGCCACACCCACAGAACCAGTTGTTAAAAATTTTGAATCTCAGCCCTGATTAAAATGCAATGAACTCAGACCATCAGAGGCAAATATATGGGTCTAACATCTATTTTAGAAGCTTATTTAAAATTCTTCTAATGTAATTTCTTTCATGAATGCTCTTTATTTCATCATATGTAACATATTGCATAAAGGTGCAGTATTTTCAATATTGTTGTAAAGTTGCCATCATTTATAATATCCAATAAATATTTTACTGATTTTGGCAAATTGCTCATTTAAATTTACTGATAAGTAAAGATCAATTATCTTGACGGATTTGTTTCTGGTTTTCATTCATTGACAAAACAGCATAAAGAAGCCCATACTACATACAATAAATATAAGCTATCATCCAGAGTTTTATCAGTCCTTTGAAAAAGGTACCTCAGGAGCGGGAAAGCATATTCTGTATAACTGAATACGTTGCTAAAGCAATGGCTTTTCCGGATGCCCAAAAATGTGCATATTTATTTATTCAATTTCTATAGCCACCCAATTGATTATGGGAGGCTTACAATTCTAAAATTATAAAACAATTTTTAAAATATTAAAACATTAAAACATCCACAAAATAAACACACTGAGTCCAAGTGAGGAGTCAAACGTGTCACCAGTCTCAAGTCCCTTCACACCACAAGAGAACTGATTCCAGCCCACCTTGAATTCCACTGACTCTTACCAACTGCCAATTTGCTTTGGTGATTAGTAGCTCAGGTTTTTGTACAGAGTTTAAGCTTGCAGTAAACTTTTCTATTCATTGAACTGCCTGGATTTCCTGTTTCTCAGGCTTGACATGCAAACAGCATTTGTGATGATTAATCGACTAATAGTAAAGCCAGCTAATGGGGCACTTAACACGTTCAGAGCCCCAGGTATATAGCCATGTTTTTAAAGCTTTGTAAAAAGCCAATAGGATTAAGCTATGGGTGATGGTGAGCCTCCCAGTTCAGAAATAGGAGTAATTGGAACTCTGAGTAGAGTTGTGCCAGTAGGTGCCATTTTTTTCTCCAAGAAAGAGCTTAAATGTGAACTGGATCTGTTTGGGTTAGTGCCATCTCATCCAGAACTAGAGATGGAAGGACTTTATCTTTGGAAGGTCCCAATACTTACAGCTAGTCCATATTGCTAATATTGAGCAGAGCCCATTTTGCTCCAAACAGCCCAAACAACCTCCAGACACTGAAATAAGAAAACCATAGCATCACTCAAGAGGCCTGGAGTATAGATATAAAGCTGGATGTCATCTGTATATTGATGATATCTCACCCAATGGCCTCACATAAATGTTAAATTGAAGGGGAAAAAGAATAGAGTCCCAAGGCACCTTACAAAGTAAGGATCACAGCTTGGATCTCTTCCCAGCTATCAGCATTGTCTGAAACTGATGTTGGAAGAAGGAGGAGAACCAGTGCTACACAAGAGCACTCATCCACAACCCCTGCCGCAAGCCCAGAAAGATTCCATGGTCAATAGTATCAAAAACTGATTCTAGATTTCTCTGCATGTGTATACATGCATGGACACATTGCTTTCCAGGTAAGTGGGGGAGCCCAAGTGGTAATGGGAAAGCCATCAACAGAATTAACATTTGCCTGAGAAAGGGCTGTCAAGTGACAACATAGGGGGAGCTGTAAAGAAATAGGACATTTCTAATTCTAATTCTAATTGGTTGTGCTCAGAAGGAGGCCACTCATATTCTGTCAACAATGTTGGATCCAAAATAGGTTAATTGCAATCAGGCTACTTTCAGCTGAAAGGTATATGAGATTTAAATAACTGATAGCTATGATAAGCTATCCCAACTCTATGGGATAGATAATAGAAAGGGTGTTAAAATGGTTGTGAATCATTAGCTAAGATTCCCTAGGCATATTTTATAAATTGTGATATCTAAACTGTTTTTTTGGGGGGGGGTGGGTATAATGGTCAGAAAACTTCATTTAGATAGGAAACAATTATCATCAGTTTTTAAAATAATCAGCTGTGATTTTTTTTTAAAAAAAACTCTGCCTCTGTGAGTTGGGTTTGAGGATAGTTATTATGGTTTTGATTCTACTCTGAAAATTAATTTCAAAAGCATGGAGAACTTCCACTTGATTCAAAGCATTTTAACAGTGATGTTTCACATACATCTTCTGTTTGTGTGTGTGTGTGTGTTTGTGTGTGCATGCATGCACACATTTAAACTATGCAGGAACACTTTAGGCAAAATAATAGTCAAATTAGTCCTGGGAAAGGAGATGGTATGAACAAAAATCAAAATAATCAAGCCTTTAATTTGCTTGGAATGTGGTGGGGCAGAAAGAGAATCTGGAGAGTTTTTGAAATTGTGTTATCATATCCTACAACAAGTAAGGTGTGACAATAATAGCATTCCTATTATCTCTCTAGTGTCTCTGAATCTGTCCTATCCTGAAGGGATTGCAGGTATATCAGTGTGCTGGCACCCAGGTCTATTTCTCAGTATATTCTGAACCAGTTGAGAATATCAAGGTGCTAAATACATGAAGCAAATTGTGGCATTTCTATTGTTGAACTACACTTCTGTATTGTTGGTATAATTCCCAACACCTCTCACTAATGGCCATGCTTCTTAGAGATGATGAGAATTGTATTACAGCAACATCTGATGTATGCAAGACTTGTCTAGTTTTGTGTTAAAATCAACTGCAGATTTGGTAGCAAAAGGATGCAGACCAATGAGCTAAAGCCAAATTCTGCAAAAAGTCAACATTCTTAAGAGATGTTTTCCCAAAGCTGGTATTTAGCCTCTTCATGGATATGTGAATAAAAAATTTCTGTTGTCTAATACTACATAACCACTGAAATCTTTAGCTATTGATAGATCACTTTTGGAAGAAATGCTCTATATACTGTTGGAAACTTTTTTTTAAATAAAGTTTTATTTGGGTTTTCACACAATCCATTAGGTAGAAACACAATTCATAAGGAAGGAACTCTCAGAACAGCAGTTTTGAATCTTTTCTTTCACAAAGTTCTGTCATATATTATTTCTCTTGTATTAACAGTGGTATTACAAATGGCATTTTCTTATTTTTTTTTTAATGAAGTTTTATTTGGGTTTTCACACATACAAAATACAAGTAAAACATCTTTTTTGAAAATAGCACGGTCCCGGGTTGAACTTCTTTATACAGACACAAAACTCAATTTCATGCTCCTTTTTGTATTCTATCCCATATCTTATACTATTTTACATTTTCTATATAGTTTTTCCCCTCTTTTGATTTTCTTGATTTTAATTTGATTATCTCATCTCAATTCAAATAATTATATTTATACTTTTGTCTGTTCTGTTTCAATTCATATTATCTTTTCTCATTAAACAAGTTTTCTCCTGTAGTTACTAATTGGAGTATGACACCTTTATATCTTTTAATTACATCCATTCAACTCTTATTTAAACTTCAATATATACCTTAAGGTTATGACCTTCAATATAATACATAATACATAACTTCCAATCGAATTCTGCTTGGTACATTCTTATAATATACACTATATTCTTTTTAAAAAAAGGATTGTAAATATATGTAATTATAAACCCTCACTCCATTCCAGTTCAGTTCTATCATTAATAATCATTAAAATCTTAACATCTTTAACACTTCTTTTCAATTAAATATCATACTTCCTTAAAAACACATATAATCTCCATAATTAATTTTCCCTTATTTCTCTTAACATATATTTTATAAATCACTAAATATACATTTTATTACATTTATTTATTGACAAGCATTCCATTGAATTACGATAGCTATTTTATCAGATATTTTAATCATACATTGTTTCATATTTTCTAAAATTATTTCTGTTTCTAATATAACCATACTATCTTATGTACCTTTGCAGAATCCCTTTTTCCATTAAATTTTCACCCATTATCTCTAAACAGACCTGTTTCTCTGTATTTTGTTTCTGTCATTTATGACTTCTTTTCCTTTCTTTCTTCCCTCTCATCTTCTC